ACCTGCCCCTGCCTGTGCTCGAAGGGAGGGAATCCCCAGGAGCAGGCAGAGCAGCCGCTGTGCCGGGTTAAACCGCGTTTTCAGAACCTCTTGCAGCCAGTTCATCTCAGCGTGGCGGGGATTTTGTTCACTGCTCGCAGTCATTTATCCCCGCAGAGGGGATAAAACCCAGATGGGAGCCCCTTGCTCACGTCCCGGACCCGCTGCACCCCCGTCCCTTCGGTGCAGGGCTCTGGGGGGGTCCCCTCGGGGTCCCCTCCCTGCAGAGCCCGGCAGGGCTGGCTCGGTCTGCCCGGAGCAGCCCACCGACAGGGCAGTGCTGGATGAGCTTGGCTGCCTTATCCGATGGGACACGGTGGGGACACTTTGTTTTTTTTTTACTGTTGGAGGAAGAAGATAGTATTAATTCCAATTAGCAATGGGAGTTCTGGCAGTGCCTTTAGCCAGAGGACGCTGGAAGAGATGTTCTCACTCTCCCGTGGCTCCTGTTTGCAGATGGGATTCCTCTGCCCTCCCCACTTGCTGTGAGGAGCTGGAGGGTGGGTCGGGGTCTTCCCCCACCCCTCCTCCCCGTTTGGCAGGTCCCAGGAGCAGCCAGGAAAACGGTTCCCCATCCCTAGGTTGTGTTGGGGAAGCCCTGTGCACACTTCCAGCTCTGCCAAGCCTGAGAGTCAGGAGAGCTGGATCCACGCGCGCCCACGCGGGCTGCTGGCGAGTTTCCCGTGGGTGAATCCTTTGCAAATCCTACGCTTCAAGTGCCTTGGAAAGGTTTTCTAACAAGCGGGGCTCACACACAGCTCCCCGGGGCAGCCCCAGTCAGAGCCCAGGACGTGGCAGCACAATGCAGAGGGAAGGTGTCAAAAGGTGTGAGCGGGAGAAACTCTGGGCAACAACCACCCCTGCCCATGGCTGTGCTGCCTTCTGGAGACACTGGGGCTGCTGTTTTAGTAGTTCTCTGCGACAAGGAAACAGTAGAAAGAACGAGCCTTGGTCTGGGCAGGTAGAAGTGCCTGTTCCTACATCTCCCCGCTGCAACGTGAGCGCAGGGCGAGGTGAGATGTGGGACTGAACCTCCCCAGGTCCCTGGCATTGACTTTCTTCTCTTTATCCTTCGGGTCTGCCAGCTGGGATGGGAACAGCCTTGAAGGGGGAAGGGTGTTGCATCTTGCCTGTTTTCTAACAAGCGGGGCTCACACACAGCTCCCCGGGGCAGCCCCAGTCAGAGCCCAGGACGTGGCAGCACAATGCAGAGGGAAGGTGTCAAAAGGTGTGAGCGGGAGAAACTCTGGGCAACAACCACCCCTGCCCATGGCTGTGCTGCCTTCTGGAGACACTGGGGCTGCTGTTTTAGTAGTTCTCTGCGACAAGGAAACAGTAGAAAGAACGAGCCTTGGTCTGGGCAGGTAGAAGTGCCTGTTCCTACATCTCCCCGCTGCAACGCGAGCGCAGGGCGAGGTGAGATGTGGGACTGAACCTCCCCAGGTCCCTGGCATTGACTTTCTTCTCTTTATCCTTCGGGTCTGCCAGCTGGGATGGGAACAGCCTTGAAGGGGGAAGGGTGTTGCATCTTGCCTAGTGAAAGAAAGCTGCTGGAAGCTCGGGGGACAGTGATTTGGGGCAGGGACTGCTCTTCTCCCCTCCTCCAGGGCTGGAGAAAACCCGAGACAGGAAGGCACCAAGACATCCTCGGTGCTTGAAAGAGGGTTTTGTGGAGCTACGGGACGGGAAATGATGTTCTCACTTACCGTGGTTTGATGTGGAAAAGGCATCTAGGCAAGAAGGGGGGGGGGGGGAGGAAAAAAAGGAGGTGGTGGGGTCCTGGGTGGGATTTGTGGGGTGTTTGTGGCAGCCCGGG